TTTAATTTGTCTGCTAACTTATGCTCAAAGTATGTTTCACTCTCATAAATATATGGCTAGTTACCCTCAAGAGCTTGCAGAAATGCACATATAACTTCATGTAGTGTCCGTTATTGTTGCCTCAATTTAACCAAATCTGCAATGTGTTAACAAACTTATTAAGATCACCCCAATATCAGATTTACCAAACAAATCTGATCAGCCATTCCTGAGCCGTTAAATGCAGAGACAAGAGATCAAGTGACATAGTGATCCTAACAGGTGCACTCCTGAAAATTTTCACCATCAATATAATAAAAAACTGCATGCTAATTCATGATATATGTTCATCTTTGCAATGCTCGCAGTGGTTTTCTATTTACTCCTATACCAAACGACTCTGAGGCTGAAATCTATATACTGTGACAGAAGGCAATGATCTTAATGATCTGCATTTTAATTAAGATTCTTTTGGAACACATTTTCAAAATTATACTGTATGATTCCTAAATTACAATACATATTTTGTGAAGAAATCTGCTAGGTAAGTAAATACCATTTTTCAACACACAGAAAATAATTGTGTTGGGACCTTGGGCAGTTATGCAGTCAAGACTTAAGGCTATCCCTTCTCCCTGGGTATTTCATGACCAGGATGAATGGGTGACATCTCACCAAGCATGAAATGTCAATTCAGTTACCTGTTTTACGACAACTAAATAAACATACAGACATCATATCTTTCCCAGTTCTGAAAATTATCTCATATTTTTGGCTATTTATTAATATTTCAAATTCTTATTTTTGCCCTTTAACATACTTATGCAATGATATTAATTTGTTATTTTATAGGAAAATAGATTTATTAAGCAGTTTTAACCGGTGCAGTATCCCCTTTCTGATCATGAACATTTAGTCAATTTGTGAATGCAGTAATTTAATACATCACAAGAGCAAAATACATTCAACTGTATGCTATTTTCAAACAAAATGGCAGATGCACGAACTATGTAAGTTTAATAAATATAAAATGTTCCTTCTAATCTATTAAGTGAGTGCAGAATTATGTCTACACAGCAGCTGGCCTGTTTATTACTTCAATGTGATAAAAAGGGAATGAAGTATCAGAGTTTGGGAATTCAACTGATGTTCAGATGGTTACATCAACATAATATACGAGGAATAAACTGTCAAAATTCAGGAATTAAATTACAGTTCATATTGACATTAGAAAGGAACTCTGAAACTGAGAAATTCTGATATAATTAGTACTGACTACTATCAGAATATCTAACATAAACAAATGTGTCATTTCAACTATATATGAACAATTCTAGTCTTCCTTGAAGGTTTTGGTAGACATTAGAATAGCTAGCCTGAAAGTAAACACAGCTTAGAGATAATTATGTTAATTCTGACAACCCAAATTTATGGTCACACTGTATGTAAAATTTTAAGCTTGAGTTGCTACTGGTTTCCCAGTGTATGCAAGTAGATTACTCAATCGAAAATACTAATGCTGAAATTCATTGCANTGTATTCTTCATTTTGGCCGATGTTTCGGAGGTATGTACCTCCGAAACGTCAGCCAAAACGAAGAATACATGGCGCCTAAACCCAGAAGACGACTTTCTTCATAGTCATCGCCGTGAAAACCTCAAAACTTACATAGACTGCAGTGATTAGCCCTATGAATTATTTACATTTTTTTCCGAAGCCCTCAAATCATATACATTTATTCTAAATCTCACACATTTACATTTGTACAACTGCTTAATTACAAAATGTCAATGAACTGTTTAATTATACGCACTACTGTCTTCATCAAAGATAATACTTTCTCAGCTTTATTACTGATCTCATGTAGACTTCACATATCTGAGGTCTCCAACACGCTGACCCAGATTATGAAAATTAAAAGCAGTAAAGCATCAGTGCAACATTATTGCTATCGATTAATTTGTAGCATGGTGGGTGTGGAGAAAAATAGTATTTGTAAGTATCAAATATATATATATATCCATAAAACAATTTTTAATAAGAGAAGTGTGGTCTTTTCCAACAGCATGATCATTATCTTCACAAAATCATACCTGCTCTCAGAACTATGTCACAAAAATTAAACTCATACCTTAAATCAAACACCTGAACCAACAGCCAAAACAATTACTTTTAAAGTACAAAATTTTAAATGTCAATTCATGTGAGAATAAAACATGATTATGACAAATCAAGTTTAGAGCAATAAATAAACAGATGGTTTGAAACTGGAACTTCACTGTTGCAGCACATAATGCAAAGATGACTGTTACTATGATAGAGGGCGATGATGATGATGATAATAATAATATATCTTCAAAGTTATTCATTTCAACAAATTCCTTCCTAAAACTTGAGTAAATAATTGTTAAAACCGTTCAAACGTGATATACAACCACGATAAGATATTACACAAAATCCAATGAACCCTGCATAATATGTTTCTGACAACAGATATTCAAACCTTCATTCAACTTGTAGAATATCAGAATTCTGCCACTGATTTTGAAGAAATATAGACATATTATCTTTTCTCCTTCAAACAAAAATTAATGACTGAAGTCAGGTTTAATACAACATCTGAGAAATAAGGTGTAACTCATACAATGGACAAAACAAAGCATAAATATGCTATTATGTCTCCCAGATTACAAATCAGCCAAGACAAACCTGTCCTACACTGGAAAACTGTCTCTTCTGCACAGCCAAGTTATGAGAATGGATGATCTGTAGTCTGGAACTCAAGGCATTCTGGCTCAGCACTTTGCTTGCGGCAAACCAGCCTTCATTTCTGCAACTGGTGCAAGCACCATGGTATCTTCCTTCTCCAAAAGTACTTTTGCTCTCATTAAATCTAGTTTTTCAGACACTGGTTTATCTTTTGAAACACTTTCCCTTTTGCCTGAAATTGCTTTAGGTTTTAATGCAACATCCTTTTTCTCTGTAACTGTTGTAACACTAATTTCTGGTTTCCTAGACAGAACTATACCAGTTGGAGTCACAATGGTAGAAGGTTTAAAGGCAGTACTGGCATTTGTCTTTGGTAACAATGACACTGATATATTTGGTTGCTGCTTGCTGTTGCCACTTTGTTCCGTCACATTTTGATCCCACAAGCCTGCGCCATTTTCAGTGGCTAAAGATCGGACATCACAAATCATAGGCTCAAAACATGAACTTCCTTGTTGCTGCTGTTGTCTTTGAGATCGGTGCTGCTGTTGCTGTATTGCTTGAATATGGCGTATCTGTGTCAAACCTGGCACTATGGAAAAAGATTTGCCACCAGCCGTGACTTGGAGAACATTTGGTACCCTCTTGCTGTGCTGAAAGTGGCTTCCTGCTGAAGTTGCAATAGTGTCCACAATCACTTTTTGGGGAGCAGGACACGACGAGTTTTGAGGGAAGGATGTGAACACTGGCACACGAGACTGGGATGATGAAACTCCTCCTGCTGACGACAATGAAGTGAAAGTCCCTGGCCGAGGCGAGATACTGATACCAGACATTCTAGTGATTGTTATGGGTTTAAGGGAGCCATCAGCAGCTGTAAGAATTCCTTCTCCCAGTCTACGTTTTAAAGGGAGATCAATTACAGGTACTGGCATGGCTGAAGTTGTACTGGAAAACTGAGGCAATGAACTGCAAGGAGACTTGAGGCGAGTAAATGTAGATGATGGACACCCTTCATAAGCATGAATACGATTCTGAACACTGTTCACATAGTTCACAGCTTTGGAACTAGCACTGGATGCAAGAATCAACTCACCAGATCTCCAATATTTCTCCAAAAGGATAAGATGACGGAAGAAACTTGAGTGATTCCCATATGGACGCTGTAGTTGTTGGAACAAACTCTTAGTGTCCTTATCAAACTGAATTGTGGCCGTACATTTCTCCCATTCTCCTCGTCTGTTTGCAGTTCCCTCTTCCTTTCTACCATGGAAGTCGAAGTTTGCATGCAATGGAAGTTCTTCCTCACCAGGATAGAATGGCGTGCTCAGCGAATCATGTATCGGAGTCACTTCAAGACCATCTCGTTCTGGGAGTAGTATAGACCTGGTGCTTTGTCCTTCACTTTGGTCATAATTCAAGCTGCCAATCTTACCACTGCTGAATTTTAACTTCAGCTTTGTTGGTTTCACACGCTGTAATTTCAAAGTCTGCTTGTGAGATGAACCAATGTCTTCAAAAGAAATTAAGTTTGAAGTGCCATTACCTAAACTACTATAATCAATCATTGGGGTACTGGCACCTGATCTATCTATGGATGCATCACCAAGAATGCTGAAGTCTGCTGTGGCTGCACCAAAGGTATCTGTCAGACGTTGGTCCTCCAAGTGAGACGTCAACTCACATTTACTCTTGGTTCCACTGTCGTCTTCTCCATCTACCTTCACAGTAGTTGAGGATGAAGCTTTGGTTTTCCGACGTTTTGGTTTTGGAGGTGCTTCTTTTGCAGTTTCTTCATCCATCTCTTCTATGTCATGGAAATGAAGGAGCCTGGTTAAGAAAGAGAAGCTTTTATCAGATGCTTTCACTGACCTCTAAATCAGAGACTGATTATGATCAGAAGTTTCCTAGCTGTCTTGTTTTCAAAAGAAAGGAACACCTTCTGTACGCTTTCATACAATGGGCTGTTCATATAATAAAGACTAAATACATAAATGGACTAACTACACGCTAGACAGTCCTCGTTTAAAAGTTAAATTATTCAATTGGTCAAAAAATCCCCTGCTTTTACGGAACACATCATTTGACCATTTTCTGAGCTAGATGAATCCAGCAAACATCTTCACATCTCATTTTGAGCTACAAAAAAAATATATTTACAAAATATTTTCTATTTCCCAACCTGCTCTTTGAATAAATATGTAGCTATTCTGAAAGTGGTACCAGTTAACTAAATAGAAAACATGGACATCATGGGAGTTATGGAGAAGGTTTTCTAACTTTGTTGCTCAGTTCATGGCTCTGCACTTCATAGCGACTGGTGTGCTGCTTTTCTGCTGATGAATCAGCATTCCTGATGGCCAATACTGTTTGGAATGGAGGGATGAAATTAGTTTGTGGACCACTTGAGAGCAATATGTTCCACAGTGAGCAGTGTGATTCATGTGGGGAGTTTGTTTATAATTTGTCAGCTGTAAGCAGCAGTTATCAGCTCCACTGGCCAATTTGTTCTATGTATTTATAGTTAATGAGCAGTCTTGTATGTCATGGTGCGGTATACTTTACGGCAACATATATTATTGTAACACACATATGTGCAATACGGATATTCTAGAGAGTTGGCGAAAATTTTGACATAAATTTTGTGATGAAAGAGTTCCAAGCAGACAAACAATTCACAATTTGGTGAATAAACTTAGAATAACATGACTCTTAATAGACAAGAAACAAAAACATAAGTGCCAAGTGCTTGCTGAGGAGAAGTTAGATGACACGGTAGCCTGACTTCAACATACACCTAGAAAATTACTGAAACATCTAGCTCAAGCCATTGGAGTGTCATGCAAGAACAGCAATACAATTACTGAAGCTTTGACCATATAAAACAAGAGTAATCCGTGCAAGCCTTGGAGCTGCATGATCCGGCTAGCAGGGCGCATTTTTGCAGCTGGTTTCTACAGTCTTTCACCGAAGGTGAGGCCAATCCACAATTGGCACTCTTTTCTCATGAAGTGTGGTTTCACTTGCAGGGATACATAAATAAGCAAAATAATCGCTATTGGAATTCACAGAATTCACATCTAACCCACAAAATCTAGCTTCATCCAGTGAAAGTTGGTGTCTGGTCTGCTGTAAGTGTAGGAAGGATTGTTGTACCTATGTTTATCAATGAAACAATTAATCTGCAAAAGATATCTATCTATGTATCAAAGGACAGCATTTTCAACACTTCCTGTGATCTGTGAATTTTAACTACTTCATTTTGAATGTTATCACCTGTAAGGCATGCTGATTCATCAGCAAAATTCATATGCACCTCGCAGCCAGTGGTGCACCAGTCACCATGAAGCACAGAGCCATGGAACTGTTCAACAAAGCAAAAAGCCCCCCTTTATAACAAACATGAAACTCCTGTCTTAAACATAGTGTGTACCCTCTTTGTAAACAGGGTTAACTTTGTAGTATTTGCTGCTACTGATCTAGCTTATTTGTTTATTTTGTAAATTGTGTCTGTTGTTAGCTCATATCTGTTCCTTTAATATGGAACAACAGACTGGGAAACAGGCTACTAGCTTTTAGGTTGAAGGATAGACAGCTCTTTCAAAACAGTCATTTTGTTTGTGTAGTCCATATATTTATTTAAAAAAAAAAAATATTTTTCAACTATTTTCTAATATAAATCTCATTTCCGGTGATGTTACCATGCAGATGTAGAGGCTGCACTGCCAATATTTATAGAAATCCTCATTCACAATAAAAATATCATTGATGTTATTATTTTAATTATAGTTTTATCAGCATGCCACCATTTTCAAGGCAACGTGGCTATTCATTAGCTCCTGCCACTGAAATTATGTATGGTAAAAGTCAATCATGCAACCCTGCTTAAAGTAACTTTTTACTTTCTCATATAGGCAGTAGATATGACAGTGTACTGTGATCATGAAAACATCTGATCTCAAGATTCTCATGGATTTACAAATTGTCAGCCCTCCCGAATGTGCATAAGTGGTTTCTGGAATGCTGTATGTTTGTTTGCCTATGAAAGGGAAGAAAGATGTGTACCACAATAGCGCCTGAATGACATGAATGATTTTATTCCTATTTAGCATTCAAGAGTTTATACATCTCTGACGAACATCAACATCCATCACCAAAAATTGGCATCCTTCAAAGAGGCCCCAAACGCAAAATCACATCATTCTCAGAAACAGCATTAATGACATTCATTAAATTTCGGTAATTTATGGAGACCACATCTTTAAATAAGACTGCACAGGCGGTATCTTTTAGAAAAAAAAATGTACATGTAACAGGGGCCAAATGTGAGCTGTCAGTTTCATTGCAACCAGCTTTAGGAGTCAAGGTAGATTTCACTGCTCTTCAGATTCATCATCAGAAAAAAAAAAAGGGCCTACGGAGCAACAATAATTCTTGCTTCCAAGGTGACGCAGACAATGTCAACCATACATAAGGAAGCATATACAATGTCCGTGCACTGAGCTTTTGTAGAATGCGAAACAACACGATGGCTATGTGTATATTTTCATTTAGATTTCAGTTTGATAGTAGTAACTAATAAACCACTGGAACAAGGAATATCAAATTTGGTGTGAAGATAGATAATAAACATACCTACAAACTACGAACGAAAAATGTTTACAATTCAATTCTAAATTTGATACTGGTATGAAACTTTGAACTGATCACAGTGGCCGCAAAGTCTAAGACATGAATAATCTTCGTCTGCTTGAAAACTGTGGTCACAGGTTTCAATCCCACTCAAGATATGGATGTTTGTGTACGTTTATTCTGTATTTGTGCTGTTGTGCATGGAAGTAGGGACCTTGTGATGGGCTGTTCCACCATTCAAGGGGTCCTACTGTGTATAAGATTATGAAACTGAGAAAGCGTCCAGTGCTCAACAAAGGCATGTAGAGCCACTGACAAAAACCTGCAAGTTATATCTGGAAAATGAATGCAGAATTTATAATTAAGTAATAAACTCTTCCCATAAAAATGGTAACAATTGAATCTTTTGATCATCTGTTTACAAGTGCAGCATGCTGACGTTAGCAGCACAACAAGGTATCTGCAGTTCTGTCTGGAATTCCTTGTCTTCTTCATAAAAGAAAAATACCTATGTGGAGTGTTACCTACAAGAAAATGTACACAATGATTTACCATTCATTTTGTATCCCTCCTCATGTATAATGTAATAAAAAATTTATGCAATCCATAATACTCGCACAAAGAAAAACAACAAATATATACAGAAGGCTTGGTTTATTTATGCACAGAAATGTTTGCTGCATGATCTTAAAACTATTTTCCAGCTGTGTCAATTATGTCAACCCTATAATAGCAATGGTAACAAGAGAATGTACTGCAATCGTTTCACTTCCTTATACATAGAGCGGATCAGAAAGTTAGAGTACGACTGGACAGAGGGGAGACAAGAAGTGTGCAGATTGGAAGAGGAGTTCAACAAGGATGATGTTTATCACCAATTTTGTTCAACTTGTACAGCGAATGCCTTACCAAGGAAGCTCTGGATGGGCTCGGAGACTTCAAATTAGGTGGGCAAATTATTCAAACTGTGAAATATGCAGATGACCTTGTGCTAATGGCTAAGGAAGAAACTGTGCTACAGGGCATGACTGATAGACTAATTGAAATTGGAAGGTACTATGGCATGGAAATTAATGTGGAGAAAACAAAAGTAATGAAGATTTCGAGACAACCAACCCCAGTCACAATAAAGATACACCAAAAACAACTGGAGAATGTGAAATGTTTTAAATATTTGGGTAGCTTGTTAACAGATGATGGAAGGTGTACTAGTGAAATTAAATCCAGGATTGCCATGGCAAAAGCTGCATTTAGCAAGAAGAATAATCTTTTTACCAGCAAATTGGACTTAAATTTGAGGAAGAAACTAGTGAAATGCTACATTTGGAGCATAGCTCTGTATGGGGCTGAAACATGGACACTTAGGGCAGTAGATCAGAAACATCTGGAAAGTTTCGAAATGTGGTGTTGGAGAAGAATGGAGAAGATCAGTTGGACCGATTATGTGAGAAATGAAGAAGTGTTAATTAGAGTCAGTGAGCAGAGGAATATCCTACATGAAATAAGAAAACGGAAGGCTAATTGGATTGGTCATGTTTTACGCAGAAACTGCCTTCTAAAAGAAGTTATTGAAGGAAAGATAGAGGGGTGGATAGAAGTGACAAGAAGACGTAAGAAGATGCTGGATGACCTTGGGGACAGAAGAGGATACTGTCATTTGAAGGAGAAAGCTCTAGATCGCATTAAGTGGAGGAACTGTTTTGGCAGAGACTGTGGACCTGTCGTCTGACAGATTACTGATGATGATGTAAGACCCATAATTACATATGGTGCCACAGTATGGTGGCATAGAGTTAAACTGTAGACAGGCAAGGCAGAACTTAGCAAATTGCAAAGGCTGGCTTGCTTGGGTATCATAGGAGCAATTCAAACATCTCCAACAGCTGCACTGGAGATACTCCTTGGACTCCCCCCCACTGCATCTACAGTTGGAGGCAGAGGCCAGGGCAGGAGTCTACTGTCTCCAATCCAGTGATCAAGGAAAACATAGATCCAGAACTTTCGGACATGCATACATAACTCAGGACATGAAAAAAGAATCCATATTACAAATGGGGTTTGACAAAATGATACTGAGACATGTATATGAAAAACCCTTCACAGTCAGATTTCCTGACAGGAGTGAATGGGAAGATAAGTTTTGGCCTAATAGAAAAGGGGGACTGATCTGGTATACAGATGGTTCCAAGATAAATAAGGGCACTGGAGCTGGTGTGTACTTAGTTTCAGCCTTGGGCAGTACATGACAGTATTCCAGGCTGAAGTATATGCCATTATGGCATGTTCTAGGTGGTTAAAATATGACCAGGACTGATTTTTTTGTAAACAAGCCGCACTGCGCAGCAGCTGTGCAACCTTGAGAGAGTGAAGCCACAACCTCCACCCTCCCTCCTGTTAGGGTTAGAACCTGTTCAGTCCTGTCTGGAAGTTGTTAGAGTGATGAATGAACAGAAGGTACTGCAGAGTGTGGAACAACGCATTGTGATCAAATTCCTAGTTGGAGAAAACGTCCCGTCCGCTGAAATTCACCACAGACTCCAACAACAGTATGGGGAAGGGCATCTCTCATGGACCCGTGTGTTTGAGTGGTGTAAGTGCTTCAGAGAGGGCAGAGAGCGCGTGGAGAATGAACCGCATGATCGTCGGCCGCGAACATCCGTCACCAAGCCAAACAATGACCGTGCAGACGCGCTCATTCATGAGAACAGACGCGTCACTATCAAGGAACTTGGAGCAATGCTGTCCATCAGTGTTGGTAGTGTAGAAGACATCATGAAATACCACCTGCACTATCGTAAGGTGAATGCACGGTGGGTACCACGCACTTTGACGGACGTGAACAAAATGGTGGGCATGCAAGTTGCCAGTCGTCTCCTACAGCAGTTTGAAGACGAAGGTGATGCATTTTTGAAGTCTATAGTGACCACCGATGAAACGTGGGTGCACTACTTCATTCCCAAGTCCCAGCAGTCATCACGCGAGTGGCGGCATACCAGTTCTCCCAAACCCAATACAGCACCAAGGAGCCGTTCGGCAGGAAAAGTGATGGCAACGTTCTTCTGGGATTGGCAGGGATGTAGACTTTCTGACAGACAGTCAATGCAGCTTATTACTCAGACCTCCTGGCAACAGACATGAAGGAAAAGATACGATCCAAGCAGAAGACACATGGAAAGCGGGTAGCCTTCCTTCAAGACAGTGCACGTCCCCATACAGCCAAAACAACAATGGAAACCCTCCGGAAATTGAAATGGAACCTTCTGACACATCCGCCATACAGTCCCAATTTGGCACTTAGTGATTTCTACCTGTTTGGAAGGCTCAAATCAGACTTGCAAGGCATGCGGTTTGTGGATGACACCGTCATCCAGAACGTTCGGGAGTGGATACGCCGCCAACCACAAAACTTTTTTTGAAAAGGGCATCAGGATGCTTCCAGAACGTTGGAAAAAATGTGTTGACTCTGGAGGTGAGGACGTTGAAGACTGACATGTGCAAGTAAGTGTCTGGCAATTTTGGTTTACAAAAAAATCAGTCCCAGTCATATTTGAACCACCTTGTATTATGGAGAATTTAGATAGGAACTATAGAAACAGGAACACCTACATTCTATCTCACAGCCAAGCTGCACTTAAAGCGCTTGACAAACACCAGATCAATTCAAAATTGGTCTGGGATTGCCACGAAACCTTCATCAAACTGGACAAACATAACAGGGTACAACTGATATGGGTGCCGGGGCATGAGGGTATTGCTGGAAACGAAACAGCAGACCAATTAGCTAAGATTGGAGCTGAACATCCGTTCATAGGACCTGAACTAGCCTGTGGCATCTCTATAGGATTTGCCAGACAGGCAATCAGGGACTGGACAAACATGAAACACAAGAAATACTGGGGATCCTTAATTGGCCTCAGGCAAGCAAAGGGACTCATATGAGGACCTTCTACTAAAAGAGCGAAGGAACTGTTGAAGTTAAACAGGAGCCAGTTACGATAGGTGGTAGGACTACTTACAGGACACTGTCACCTCAAAGGACACCTGTTCAAACTGGGACTAAGTGATAGTCCCACTTGTGAGAAGTGTCAAGAAGAAAACGAAACAGCCACACATATCCTGTGTCAATGTGAGGCCTTAGCTTATTTAAGATTATGTCACTTGGGTCAATACTTTATGGAAACAAGTGACTATTTAGACGCCCCCATGCACAAAATCCTGTGCTTCATTCGATGCATGGGATTGCTGAGGGGATAATCAAAAGGGGAAGCACAACAGACCACCATAGGTCGTGCTGCAAGGGCCAAGAAGGACTACCCCTCATATATACATTCATTCATGCTGCCAATGTTACTAAAAATATTAATAAAATTCAAATAAATATTGCTGTTTACTATTTCACTGCAGTGAGAAGATACATATAGGAAGGGAGGACATTGCAAATGGAAAATAATGCACAAAGAAGGGCGAGAGTTTTGTTCTCAAACAAACATATTTTAGTGTGAACAACAATAATGCAATAGCATGGACATATACTGACTTAAGCTCTAGTGCAGTGTGATTGTTTCAAAAGTGAAAAACATGATCTGATTATTACATATTTAATGTTATTTGAACTGAAGAGAGACTGTGAACATTTTTAAGCTGCATTAAAGATAGAGGTGAGAGGGAATGAATGACAAAAGTAATTAGACACTGCGAAAGGAAAGTGCACTAACCTGAAAGGACAAGAGCACACGTGCAACTCAAATTAAAGGCACTATACAATTACAGGAGCTAACATTTTCATTGTACCCCTCTATTCAGCTAATTTTCATATATAATTACTAACATGGGTCCTTTCAGTATTTTGCTTCCAAGATTTTTGAGCCATATAATTTGTGACACCTGGCATATAATGAGTTAAGGAGCATTTTTTGTAAACCCACTGCTGATCATTAGTCTAGAGACCAATGTACATGTTTAAAGAAATGAGCCCATCAAACACATTACTGGAGTACATTATTGAAGAGTTTAATGACAATTGTGCTATGGCTCTGGTGTTAAAAAGAATTCCTTTTTAGTTGCTAGTCATAACAATGTATATAACATGGTCTGCATTAAAACAGGAACTTCAAGAAAATTGTAATAATATATATATATATACACCAAGTTACATCTATAGTTAGTGCCTCGTAACTTTAGCTGCACGGAAAGGTAAATGCTGTTGTGGAGCACACGAAGCTGTATGCTTACTGTGGTGACATTCAGAGCTACTCCTCGAGTGGAAAACATTGCCTTCGGAGACCAACTATCAAGCAACACAACGTACTATATACCTGACCACACTCCAAGACACTACATTCCAAACTGGTAGTACTCGCGCTGTTAGCTGATAAGACTGCTCCCCCCAAACTCCGTGAGAGATGGTATGACCCCTCTACCACAGCTAAAGTTCCGAGGAACTAACAGTATAAATGTGTGTTCTACTGACTAGCCTCAGCTGTTCATTGGTATGACATATCAAGACAATGATTAACATTAATCTACAGGAAAGTTATATCCTATATTACCTTTTCCTGTAGCCCTGGAAGAACAGTTTGTGATTTCCTGCCAACTGTGATGGGTCTTTGTACTTCAACCGGACGGAGGAGAAATAGCGACACAGTTTGCATACAAACAACTTGTCTGACAGACACACGGGGATCCCATCACTTGCAAGAGCTGTATTCAATTCATGCACCTCTGGTCCGAGAGGGTACATGTGGTTGCGGGTCAGTCGTCGCTTGCAGATTCCACATACCATGTAGTAGTCAATCCACGAATAATGTTCCAGACACATTGGGAACGGCAAATGTGGAGGCATTTTATCCATGTCTATTTGAACCTGCATAATGAAATATTTTTCTACTCTTATGCTTCCCTTGAGACAACACAGAAATTAAAATGAAACTGTCACATACAAATGAACCTAACACAATTATAAACATACAATAACAAAACACTAACGTCCTCCTTTGTGAAAGAGATAGTACACAAAACACAGAATATGGAGATTTTTTCCATTTCAAAATTATGAACTAGTGATGTGTGAGACTTTAGTTTGCAAAATTGAAGGAAAAAATTCTTGACCTTGATTTAAATGTTCATTTTTCAGTCTTGAACTCTCAAGAATTTTCTGTACCATCTGATGTCAGCAGGGATCTGTACTGCAGTTTCCCAACTGGAATACCAGCTTTTCCTTTTCAAGAGTTACAAAGAACAGGTCATCACACACAAATGATACACACACATGACGTGCTTAGCCCATTCTAAGCTTCAAAAATGTTTGTCAAAAATTAGCACTATACAGAGTGATACAAAGCTCTGGTACAATCTTTAAGGGGAGATACAGTTTTCTCAGATTTTCCTCCACTTTGGAGTTACAAAATGCTTAGTGATGTTACTTTGCATTATTGTAATCTTTCCACAGGGGCTCTGTGTTCATGTTTAATGGAGGGATGTCTTACATGTACCTTCAAAATCATCTTCCATTCAGGCAAATACAGCAGCATACATTGGTGCAGCATGAAAGGTGGCCAGTGTTATAGCTTAATATGGGGTTCCTCATAAGAGACATCTTGAGCTGTTACTTCTTAATGCATGAATGAGCAATAAAGTCAATCAAGGGTAACATGTTTGCCTGCACATATCTTGGCCACTACTGGCCATCAGTAAAAGGTGTAGTGAACACTATAAAGAAATGCTTTATATATGCGTTTCAACATAAGTTGTGATGAAGGGATTTCTACTGGAAATTGAAATCAAGACTAAAATGTTAATGCAGCCATGATAAGTTGTGTACATTAAAAGTAATTAGCTAAAATCAGCTAAAATAAATTAAAGGTACTGTTGTGAATGAAGAGGAACATAATGATAGCCACAGTTTTCTACTGTCAGTCACACAGAATACCCTATGGAATCCTATGCTTTTGGCAGTATGTCTGTCCGGTTAGTGTTAATGTGTGTAATCCAGTGAAGTATGTGGTAGTGTCTCATTAAACTATTAAACTTGTCACACTTGATGGACCTTACTACTCATTCATTTATTCCAAAGAAAACATTGATTTACTAAAGAAAACTGTTTCCATTTTGGAATTTTTCTAATGTTCTCAAATAGGAAAGTCATTCTCACATGTGTCTATTATAAACATAAGAGTCATATCACAAAGACATGAAAAATGTCATTTTTAAAATTTAAAATTTAGAGAAAAAATTTTTAAAGGATTTCAAAGTAGAACCGAAGATTTTATAAGTGCTAATCAGTAAGACCTATGCTTTTAAATTTCAAATGTTATAAATAAGTGCAGCGTAACAGATACGTGAGTGTATACACCTGATGATGGCCGTTTGGGGCCGAAACGTGTAGTGTATAGAGAGGAACAAAACGAAAGACCTATAAATATAGTTTGCACTTAGGACGGAGTTATATCATATATCGTATAAAGTGCAACAGGATGCTTAAATATAATAAAATAAATTGTATTTCCACCTTCTAGACATGACTATTCCCAATGCCTATTTATTGCACAAGTCATGTGGTGGAAAAATGACACATAAAAATTCCCCAAAATCCTAATACAAACTTTGACTGTACAGTCGCATGAGGAGAACATCACGATCAGAGTCGTTCCTCTTGGGAGGCCTGGTCAGTGACGTTTCTCGGGGGAGGCCAAGTTCATCTGAGGCTCAACTGAGTAGACCAGAGATGAAACATTCGCAACACTGGCCATCCAAAGGGAAACAAAGACATCACGTTCGCTAAATAAGAAACCAGGAGCACCCTTTGCTATTGTAAACAGGGTGATGTTGGTCTGTGTTGATGACTGCTTTGACCAGTGGCACGTGAGAGTGTGAGCACTGAATGTATTTATCATAAGCTGTGAAGTGATGCAGTTCATACTCGCATACAGTCTGATCAAAGGATTATTGTATATAATGTGATTATTTTTTATAAAATCAACATGTCTGATGTTTCGAGAAAAAGCTATGGATAAGTCCTTTGGAATTTCATAACATATATATAATAAAGATGATATGTTGCATTTCATGACAAAATAATCACAGTATATTTTCATTTGTAAAAACTGCTGTTTTGTGGTATATGTAGAAAATGTTATTGTTTTTTCTGAAAGTCTACAACTTTATAGACTTAGGGCCATTGAAATTATAGCCGCAGCAAGCTCTCGACAATTTAAAAGTTCATACTTTAAAGGTTAAGCCACCCACTACTCTCTCATCTACTGGCTGTCACTTACACTGCTGAATTAAATGTGGCTGAATAACTAATATGGAAGATGGTATATTAAAATATCAAACAATTACATTCACAGTGGCAGAAGAAATATTACTTCAAAGTGATATGACGGAATAAAATTAAGAAATTACCGTTACTTCATTTATCAATCTTAGTTAAGTTTAATATCTTGGACATTACGATCATCTGGATTTTACTTTAAACATGCATTTTGGAAATAAATCAGCTTCCAAAATAGTTTTAGGATAAAATGTACAATGACTGGATAGTGTTCAATCTATTACTGTTACTTCCCTATTGGAGAAGTGGGGGGACTGCCTAAGCTGCAAAAACAAACACATCACTCTGGTCTCTCCTGAGGGTTTTAGATCTTCCTATTATACAGTATCTGCATATCTGTTCATTGTATTGTACTGAAGCATCCTGTTGCACTGTCTATTCCAATTTTAGGATTTTCCAACAAAGAGCCTCAAAGTGTGAATTCAATATATGGACAGAGTTGCATAAAGACAGTAAAGTGACATTCTTAAAACTGGGTCTGCATAACCGCTAATGTCCAAAACAGAAGAAAGTAAATAGAAACTACACAAAAGAACAGTACTAATCTCAATCTACATTTCCTACATGAAATACAAACATGCTAATTCTGCATACCTTCTTAGCAATACTTCGTTTCAATTTGAGCAGCCACTTCCTTCTGACATGGTGTTCAGCAATCTGTGAACATCCCTGGACACAGCATGATGTTTTTATCTGTGAGGAACCACTTCGATGGTGCTGTCGCTTTCTGTTTGGCTTGTAGGATGGACAATTTGCTTTACGATCGACATGTCGGTAACATGCATCACACAGGCAAGAGTCGGCGGTCAGATGCGTCTCTGCTGCACACAGAAATATTATCTATTAATCTGTGAAACCCATGAAATTACCTCAAAGCTCTATGACTAGAGTAATGAAGTCCATAGCTCAGACAAGAGACACAAAAGTAAACTTTGTAGAATATCAATTGTATGTCGAGCATTTTTCACTGTCTGAAGCATATATGATACATTCAATGTTTCGGAAATTAATTCTTCTCCTGTCTATATTGGTTCTCAAACTGTTATTAACTCCTAAAAATCAGTATCAATGGTTGAAATGAAACCTGGTACCATCGAATATTACACAGCTATGCCCCATTAGTGTACAGAGTATTTGATAAGTCTAAAATTTGAACCAAAAGAACGATGCAAATGATAAGTGGTTTTTAGAATACATGTGCTGTATGTGGAGGCATGAGGTACCACATTAAATGGTATAAAAGAAAATACCATTCTGAAATATATTTCATTCTGGCTCTAGTCTTCTGATATTTATAAACAAACCAAATTAGAGATCTACTTTTCAAACACCCTGTAGCGTGATAATCTCCCTACAGTATTGTTGCAGTATTTCTAATTCCTAAGTGTAGAAAGAGGAGCATCATTTAAGATGGATATCTACAAATTTTCTTTTCACTGTACAAGATTTTCTTTCCAGGCAGTCGACTAAACAATTCCTGTGGCCACATCCTTCTTTGGCAAAAAGAGCATTACATTTTCATAAAGTACCTTTCTAGAAATGTACACTTTATAGCTTTCTCCTCCGTGATGTGAAACCAAGAAATAGCTTGAAGACTCTTTTCCTGGAAGAAAATAACTATTACTCTCCCAATCCTCTTCCTTTCACCATTTTAAAGAATCACTACTTACTCTGAAGTACTTTCTGTTGCCGTTCACTGCTCTTTAGTTGTGCTATGTGACAGGGAGTATCCAGGGAACCAAACTTTCCAAAACAATAGCTACACACATCAGAGCACAGGCGACCTGGATGTATGGAGAATGATGAACTCTTCTCTGGGATTACCAGGTTACCACTCTGCTTGGTGCTGCATAAAATAACAAAGCCATCTCAACCGGTGGCATGCGGTACTATTTTTGGTAAGGGAAGCAGTGGTATCTAATAAATGAATCGATAGCAATCAACTCACCAAAATTTACGTCACTTATTGAGTCAATAAGGTCGTTTTGTATTCTGTTCGATAAAGCTGTAAATACTGTACTGTTCGCAAGGTGAACATTGAGTTTGTGATCATATTTCCTCAACAAGTGAACTAATTCCACATAATTACCTCAGTCAATAGAAGCCACGCTTTCGTCATGACCACGGAGGGCAAGTTGCCACTTTCCTAAATGGCAGATGATATCAATCAAGCGTTTCATTATTTCTCTATTTTCTTTCACATTTTCATTGTGCTGTAGTATCGCCAGGTGCTTTTGATTGTCAAGTTGACAGTCAATTCAAGATTTCCCGAACATAACAAGTTGCATTGTTGAAATAATGCGAGTCTGAGAGTTCTCTTGTCGTTTCAATGCTTTATGAATATTGTTGATATCACCAAACCCAGTCTTGTTCCATACATTTTTTTCAATGAGAAACAATAGGCATGGCCAACAAAACAATTTTCCTATATTACGGCATCCGGATAGCCACTCTGTTTTAGAATACTGTTCCAAGTTAAATTTCCTCACACATAATTTCATTCGTGCTTTAAGTTCTGGCAACTCGCATGTCGGTCATCCTCTTTCTATAATTATGTTCCTTTCAGAAACGTCCATGCTATTAAACTCCCGTTTTAAAAGGCTTTCGATTGCAAAGTCACAGTCGTCTTGTCTGCCAGCATTCATTTTAGCTATGGCCTGTGCGTGTAATCTAATCACGCCCCTGCCCCTTGTACCACAATATCACACTTGCTTCCCTTAAACACAGATACCTTCTTTGTGAGGCATCAAAACATGATCACAAATACAATCTTACACCATCTAAATATACACTTACAATATCTTAGTAACACTTGATGTTGCCTATAACACCCAACAAGACTGAACTCACACATGCACAGTTAATTTTCACACAACCATTGAAAGAACACAGTCCTTTGCTGGCCCAGCCAGCAAACTGAAATTTGCTTCCCTTGGCCACTTCAGATTAGACGAATTCATACAAAGATTAATGAAAGGAAACTTGGTACGTCCCACCAAGTAGGGGAAGGGAGCTAGAGGAGGCATGTGGCCTTGAGCAGGAACATGCGCTAATGACAATATTCGCATCCTTATTGTTCAAATTGAATTATTTATATATGACTTTTCTTTTCGTTTCTTAACTACGGAAGCAATGCTTCCCTTGCTTCCATGCACAGCACGCCACTGATCTCAACTAAAGACCAAACCCATGACATTAAATCATCTGAGGCCAAAACCTTGCCGTCTCATATTTTAGTGAAATTTCATGAGGTACAGAATCTCACAGAATTGAGCTGCAACATCAATTATTAGACATGTAGGCATAACAGGTCTTGATTTGATACATAAAGTTAAAAAAAAAATGTCAATTTATGACAAAGCTTGACTTTCAAACTGCTCTCTCCCCGTCCCCTAATTGAGCCATGAAGCCCAAATTAGTCTCATTTTAAAGACAACCTTTCCATTTATAAATGAGGTGTTATAAACTATGTTTAGGGAAAAGGAAGAGTTACAGCAATTTAAAAACATGTCTGAAAACCGGCAAGGCAGTTCATCTCTATGAAGATTTCTACCTCAGCAAATTTCGTTAATTTGTTTGGGCTGCTTGAATTTTGTACTTTTCTTGGTTGATCTGACACAGAATGAACCATGTGTGATGTGTTCAGGTTCTAGTCTTGCGGTTTCATTCACAGCCCAAATATGTAACCCAATTTGATGGGAGAAGCAACTCTTCCAGCTGGGATATAATGCCATGTAATGCGCTGAAAGTCAACGGACATTTTGGTGGAACACGTCGCCTCCATCTTTGGGGTAGGAAAGTAAGCCAAGCAACAAACCAGCATGAAACAGGGAGCAAGCTTCACTTACAATGAACTACATGGTGCTATATCCAAGATGATAAAACCCCTCATAAGCACTACTGTGAGGACCTCACATCCTACATAGTTCCTCGAATATTGTAAAAAATTTCCTAGTACTTAAGGTGTTACTTTGTTAACACTTTAACATGGTCCTCACCTTTGAGCTTTACCATCATCTTTGCTGCTAATTTCTTGGCTTAGGGAATCACCAGGACTGCTTTTGTCTGCAGTGAACTGGGGACTACTGCTGATATCTGGGAAAGAAATTATCTGCGATTACAAGGAGCAATAAAAACATACACATAGCCATCTCCCACAAGCAAGTACTTACAAACTCTTCGGCAGGTGGAACTATTTTTAAAGAACCCTCATAATGCAGTTCTTCTTTCATATTGTGACGTGGATGACGCAACGGGAAGTAGGGGTCATGTGACCTCTGCGGTCTCGCGAGTGATGTCTGACCCCCCCACCCCTTCCATTATCATGCAACGCTCAGTAAACACTCCCTTGCCTCCCGCGGTGACGTAACAGAAGAGCAACTGTGTCAGGCAACCACTGCCATGGTGATGTAACAAGAAATACCGCGGTTACTACACAGCAGTAAACAACTCTCGATAGTGTTGCTAGGCAACCTGTAAACACAGCGTCATGCAACAGCAGTACCTATAACGTAACTGTTTTCTGTGTTGTCCGTGCTGGGGCTAAATAAGGAGCAGCGAACACTATTCAGTAGTGAAGATTGGGCCAGTTATGAGTGAGTGAGTTACTAGTGAGCAACAGTTAACCAGTCATTTGAATTGTAGCGGTCACCGAGTTAAGCTGTAGCGAGTGAATCGGGAATGTGTGATTAGAGGCGATAGTGTAAGAAGTTATTGGGAGTATGTAATACAGTGACACTGGTATAGCTCCCGTATCGTACTGTGAATAAGAGAAGACCATTGAAGATAGAGTGAACAGATTATTGTGTAGAGTGTATAAATTGTGTAAACCCACAACTATTATAAGTAGGGCCCGGATTTTTTTGAAAATGCATATGCGCACATGCAAATGGATATTTTGAGGGTTTTTGGTCATTATTGCATATTCTAAATGTAAGAGCATATTTCTGCATATATGTTTGAAATTTAAGATAATTAAGGATGAGACAACCGATTTATGTGGTCGATGCATAGCAAATTTCATAGTTGTTAAGCTACATCCAGACGAAGCCGGCAAACCTCATCTTCTTGCTTGCAAAGTACTAGAGAAAACCAACCATACCACAATAGCAAGATTTGTAAATGATTCTCTGCGACTACTATGGCCATATGAGAATAATTGTTGTAAGGTGCTTGTGTTACTCACAGGTGGAGCTTCCTATATGCTGAAATAGCAAAAGCCTTAAAGTATTTTATCCAAATCTTATACACATAACCTGTTTAGCTCACGGATTACACCGTATTGCAGAAAAATACGTGCAGTTTCCAGCTGTTAACGATTTAATTGCAAGTGGAAAAAACTGTTTCTGAAAGTACCAACTCATGCCCAGTTCTACAAAGATTGCCTACCTCAGGTTCCTCTGCCACCTGAACCTGTCTCAACTAGGTGGGGGACATGGTTATCCACAGTTTCATTTTATCAGGAGAATTTCAATTAAGTAAAAGAAGTGGTTACAAAACCTGAAGATGAGTATGCATGTGCGTAAAGCAAAAGTGGTGTTTGGAAGTGATACCGTTTATCAAGATGGGAATTTTATCCATGCAGATTTTTCTACAGTTTCAAAAGCCATTGAGAGCTTAGAATCTTGTGGTGCACTCCTTCATGACTCACTTCAACTTGTTCAGAAAGCAACTTGTTCACTTAATTCTGCACAAGGCGAAATTGGAGAGAAGATTAAATTCAAGTTAGAAAAGGTGTTGAAATCGAACCCAGGACTAAAAAGGGTTCAGTCAATTAGTCAGTACTTGAGTGGAATTAGGGTATCTTTGCCAGATGAATGTTCCAAACCTTCAACGCCAGTGTATAAATACTGTCCAATCAAGTCAGTTGATGTAGAAAGATCATTCTCAGCCTATAAACTCATTTTGACAGACAACAGACGAGTTTGTCTCCAGAAAACACTGAAAGACTTCTAGTTGCCTATTGTGATGCTACTTTCTGCAGTGAATGATACATGTAAATAGGCGAGTCTGAATGAAGTGACCTGCTTCTTGAGTGCATATTGTTTTATTTTTGGTGCATATTTTCCTGCTTTTTAGCGCGTAAAGATCCAGGCCCTAGTTATAAGTATTTGTAATTATGACTTGTAGGTTGTTAAATAAACCAATTAACAATCTGAAGGGAATCTTCAGTAGCAAAACACGTTACAATATGTTTCTTAATGATGATGACTTGAATTGTAAGATTAATTATACCTATGGTCCTTCTAAACATTATAACCCTCAACAACATTATCAGTTAATAATTTGTCCCATTTCTCTGGTTGAAATTACAGATTTGCATATATTTTGAGTATACTTTTCAATTGAATTGAATCATTATATGATAAAATGTCATTAACTGGAAACTGACTAATCAGGGATGAAGAATATTATTTGAATTACCATATTATTTGGCCTATAAGATGCATCAAAGTCTGATACCCATGCAGATATTACAGGGAAAGTTTCGGAGAAATCTCCTAACCTTTAAGGCTATAACAGTGCACACAGAATTAAGCAAGATTTTTCAGAAAAAAATTAATCTTGTATCCTGGAAAATATGGTACATATTAACCATATCTACAAAATGAAGTCTGTTCCAACCTTTTAATTTCTGGTTCTCTGCATTCAGTAAATAGATTTATTCTTTAAATGATTTTCACATAACCAATGATAAACACTTTGAGCTCAAAGGTTGTAGCACATGACACACATGAACACACACACACACATGTATATACAAAAATAAACAAATTGAGAAAAATCTCTAAACCCAGCAGATGTTCATTCTGGGATCAGACAGCTAAAGGCTGTACTAGACTAGATCATATTAGGAATAAAGATAATAAGAAAGAAGTGAAAATACAATGAGCACAAAGTAGGGTAGATGAGTGCAGACAAAACTGGACCTCATGAAAATATAATGCAACAGAGTCTTCAGCATAAAACAAAAGGATGCCTACACTGAAGAACAGCCTAGAGAAGATGGAATGAGTATGTAAAGTCAGAAAAGGCTTGACTGCCTATACCAGTGGTGGGCAAACTTTTTTAGGAGGGGGCCAAAGAAAAAAGAAAAAACTTTAGGCGGGCCAATATAATTTATTAAAAACAATAATGGTAGATTTTACAAAATTCTTGTAATACTAAGCCCTATTAATGATTGAAAGATTATGAAGGAGAATGTGATGAATGAAACTGTGACTGCATTTCCAAAATTTTCTCATAATCTGGTTCGAACTGGGATGCACTGATTCTCAGAAGTGAAGTTAAATGCTCATCTGTCAGTCTGTTTCTAATACAACTCTTTCGAAGTTTCATTGTAGAAAACACCTGTTCACACATATAGGATGAAGCAAACATAGCAGTGACTTTCTGGGCATGAGATATCAGATTTGGGAAACTGGATTTCGACAAGGACTTGTAGAACTCTAATTTTGGGACATTGAGAAACAACTGTTTGAGTTGAGTGTTACATTGCAACTCAATTAATTCAAGTTGCAAGTCCGGTTTCACTGTTTCACAGTCTACATTAAAAGGCATACTGAAAACATCCAAGTCTTTTTCAATGGCACTGAAGTCTTGAAATCTTCGTTCAAATTCACCACGGAGTCTTCTCAGGCTATCCTCGTAGCTCCTAAGCTTGTCCTTCATCACTGGGGCTATTGAATTTAACCTCGGGAAGTGAGACAAGTCATTCTTAGCTAGCTGATCTGCAAACAGAACAAGTTGTAGTTTAAAACTTCTGATATGGCCCCAGATATCATCAATAAATTGATTTTTTCCTTGCATCTTGACATTCAACTTGTTCAGGTGGCAGAGAAGATCTGTGAAAAATGCAAAGTCCGAAAGCCATGCAGTATCTTCCAGCATTTCACATTCTACAGACCACTGTTTCTCTTGGAAGAATGACACTATTTCGTCTTTCAGCTGCCAAACTCGCTCGAAGACGCGTCCCGCGCTAAGCCACCTTACTTTCGAGTAGTACAGTAAATCAGAGTATTCAGATTGCATGGAGTCAAGAAACTCTCGAAATTGTCTGTGAGTAAGCCCTCGAGATCGAATGGCATTAACAAGCTTCACAACGACATCAAGCACAGGTTTCATATCCAAGGCAGATTTACACAGGGCGTCTTGATGTATGACGCAATGCAGAAATACAACATTGTTCTCGGGATATTCTTGATTAAAGATCCCAACAAATCCAGATTTTGTCCCTGTCATACTTTGTGCTCCATCTGTCGTAATACTGCATATGCTAGTTATAGGTACTTTCAAAGTTGAAAGGCCTTCCAGAAATTCATGAAAAATATCTGACCCTGTTGTAGTTCCCTTTAACGACCGCATGCATGCTAATTCCTCTGTAATAGAGAAGTTTTCGTCAACACCTCTTATAAATAATAGCAACTGTGCAGTATCATTTATATCAGTGCTTTCATCCATAGTAATGGAGCAGAATTTAAATTGACCAATCCTTGATTCCAACTGTGATAATATGTTTTTATCTATGACTTCGATTCTAGAAGTCACTGTTTTTCGAGATAAGCTTACAGTTTCAAAATCCTTTGTCTTGTCAGGACATAAAATATCACAAACTTTGAGCATGCAGTGTTTAACAAACTCCCCATCAGAGAGAGCTTTGTTACTTTTAGCAATATTGTATGCTACAACATAACCTGCATGTGTAGCTGCTTTCTGAGAACTATTTACTTTCTTAAAAATACTTTGCTGACCTGACAGTTTTTTACGTAGGTCTTCTGCTTTTTGTTTCCTTTCATCTTCGGTCATGGCTCCATAATTAGCATTCTTATGCTTAGAGATGAAGTGCCGGGAAATGTTGTATTCTTTGTAGACTGCTATGGTTTCATTGCAGATAAGACACAGTGGTTTATCCTTAAAAGCTGTGAAAAAGTACTTCCAAGTCCATTCATCTTTGAAAACACGGCACTCTGAATCAACTTTACGTTTTTTAGTTGACATCTTAGGGCTGAAATGTTTCACGAATGTGCACAGTAAAACTAGCAAACACCTACAGCAATAGTGCGACCGGGTCTGAATAAAAGACTGTGGTGTTAGTAGCCAGCTGCAGTGGATGTAATGTGGAGGGGGTACAGCGAGGATGCTCTGTTGCCAGTTTTACTCTTCGCTACAAAAATGCCAGCAGCCAGTGCCTCACTCTCAAATGTTAACATAGCATTCCAATGCCATAGTGGATAAGTAAATAAATTAATCTGTGGTCACTAGGCTAAACATAAAAGGGAGGAAAGAAGAAGAAAATAATCCAGAATTATTTATTTTCCTTAATTCTTCTCCTTTTCATTCGTCAGATTAGGAATCATTTCGCGGGCCGGATAGAACCTATCAGGGGGCCGCGTCTGGCCCGCGGGCCGTAGTTTGCCCACCACTGGCCTATACCATGAACTGAAGAAGAAAGGCAGAATTGGATGGGCAGATGGACAGACAGAGAGAAGGATGCATGCATTTGTAGAAAGCATATACACAGTCACATATAAATAACTGAAAATACATGCTTCTCATGTATTGAATGTAAATATACAAATACAAAAATAATGAAATTATATTACAGCTAAAAACTGCAATTTATTGCCTGTTCTTAACTGATTATTAAAAAGGGTGATAACACAAACCAAAATAGCGGTAAGAATATGGAGGCTTCAGGCACTTGCGACTCCCAATTCCAAAACCAAATGGACCCTTGGTGTTTCCTGATGTTCCAACCTGAAAAAAAGTTTAATAACCATTTCAGGTAATCACATCAATTAAAATGACATTTAGTAGTTATAAACATTACTATTTATAACAAAATACTTATGCAGTTTTCAACATAGTTCTTCTTCTTAGAAATAGACAGGATGTATGGATGAAAGGTATCCAAAATAAAATCATTATATCTCACAAAGAATTTATTATACACATTAATGGGTTACACCATTACAAAGGGAAACAATCAAAGTTTTTCTTCTGCATATATAACTTTCTCAATAAATTTAAATGTTGGCTCCCTTGGTGGTATGACAAATATCCAGGCTTCAAACATGTTTGGTGTTACCATAGCAACAGCGTCCCTTATGCTGGCTTTCAGGTGTTGAAGGTCACTGATCTTAACCTGGTGGACAATGTTCTTCACATAACCTCACAAGAAGAAATCCACTGGGGTTAAATCTGGTGACCCAGGAGGCCAAGCGATTGGTCCACCTCTGCCAATTCATATCCCAGCCATGTCTCTGTCCAGGTGATTCCTAACATGGTGGCAAAAATGTGGCAGTGTATGCATGTAAGACAGGTATGAAAAAAAAACTTTCAGTTTTCCTTTCTGATGACATAAACCGGGTACGTGTATCACAATTAGTTTCTGAGATATAAATGTTTTATTTTGGATACCTTTCCTCTGGACACCCTATGTATATA